ATGCTTTCCTCTGTTCTGATAAATGATTCAGCAGTAGAAGTGAACAGTCTAATGAAAGTGGTGGATGCAGAGCACACAGTACAATATTTATATTTTATGTTGCACTTGGTACTGATGAGGACTCTGAGGCAGCAAATTGCCCTCAAAAGACAGTGGCAAAATGTCGCCAGATGAAACATTTATAACTGGACAGCAATCGAGCAAGACTCTTTGTCTATAGCACTGCGAGGGTCAGCCGTTTGAGACCCCGACTTTACTTAGTACTGACTCATTAGTCTCAAAACAAGATGTCAGCTATCTCATTGTGTAACCCACTGCAATTAGCCTTCAGCAGTTAGTCCCCCCCCCCTAATTTTCCAGACAGAATAAGAAGAGACAAGAGTAGCGAAGAGAGGGAAGTGGCAGGAGATCAGCACCTGTCTATTCATAAATGTAATTGCTGTAAACACTCCCTGCATCCACGAGACAACAAACTCATAATTAGGGCCATCCCTCTCCAACTAAAATATTAAGCATTTTGTACCAGTCAAACTGACTTCACCCCGTCTATCCGCACACACACGTCTAAAAGCTCGTCAAGAATCCTCATTAGCAGACAGAGACAGACAAACATTCCCACAAATCGTTGGTTCAATTGGCCCAATCATGTCCTCCCGTCTTGTTCAAAATGAGGCTTAAGTTAAAATGTGGGATTATGTGCTACAGAGATAAAATGGAAAACACAAATCTGCCAGATGGCACGGTCTCATCAAAACGCTGTTTACGTCACAAACAAAAACAGACTGAACAGATACTGCACTCGGGGTGGCTGTAGAATTTACTAGTAGACCCAAGAGAGGGATACAGAGGAAATGTCATGAAAATAAATTGTCCAATGGCGTGTCTCTGCATACAGTGTGCTGCACAGAGTGAATGTAGCATACAGTACTTTGCATGTGCAGCATCAGAGAGCCCAGCTGCGGATCTTTGCACAGAAGTGTAGTTCGCTCACAGATAAGTCTCTAGCTCCCAGCTCTCGACACAGGGTACAAAGTAACAGACAGGTAATCTAAAGGAGAAAGGGCCTACTCTAGGCACTGCTCTTACTCTGATGTGTGTATTATTGTTTCAGCTCTTGGTGGACCAAAGTAGCAGAATGGCTGGATGGAGTTGAGTGTTCTCTGATTTATCGCCAAGTTCAGCAGTTGAAGCCAGGGCCAAAAGCCACTGGCTTAAATACTTGAATGTATTAGGACTAATGGGTGGGTGCTATTGACCAGCGACTCTCTCCTAAATGAGGCACAGCAGATGGGAAGATACAGTGATACTGTGTGTGTCATTAGTAAAACAAACAAGCACATTTGAAAAGAAAAACAGTTAAGAGGTCCAGTGTGTAGGATTTCGGCGGAGCTGCAGATCGCAACTCCCTCGCTTCACCGTCCTCTTCCAAGTGCGAAGGAGAAACTATGGGCGCCACCGAACCGCCCCCTATCTAGAGCCAGTGTCGAGTTTGTCCCTCTGGTCTAGAAACATGGCGGTTCAACATGACGCCACGACTCCACGGAAGGCGACCCGCGGTGTCTGTAGATATAAAAGGTTCATTCTAAGGTAACAAAAACACAACAGTTCCTACATTCAGGTGACTGTGAATAACCCATACACTCAGAAGAGACTGCTCAGTCTGAGGAGAGCAGTAAGCCATGACTGATTCAATTAACATCTGCACTGACCTTCACTCATTCAAAACTCACAGTACCATAAAATAATCAAATCCTGTGATGGGTCAGGCCTCTAATCCACACTATCACACCAACAATCTGCACCTTCCATCGTCCCAAACACATCCCGTCGGAGGACAGCCTACGTCAGCACAATCTGCTCCTTGATGCTCACACTGTGTAACCCGATGGTAGCAGCCAAGCCACACAGCCAGCATGTGAATTGGCCAGATCCTTTTGCAGGCTCAAAAAAGACTTGAGTCAGATATTAATCAGTGATCCAGAGTCTGAAAACAAGAGGAGGGGGCTGTTTTTTGGTTGAAACTACTTGCGCCTTGTTTATGTACATTAAAAAATCAAAAATACAGACCTGAACTTGCTACATTTAACAATACTAAATTGATAACAAAGTAATGATACTATAAAGCATAAGGCACTGACTTATCCAGCTGTCATCGGGCTAATAGTTTTGGTACGTTTTCAGAGGCTTTTATTGGCAGCCTCACACAAAGCCTCAAAATGCCCCAAGTACTGTCCAAGACAGTTATCACATAAACCTGTCAACAAGTCTCTGTGTCAAAACAATGAGTCACCATGAAATGATCAGGCATGGTTTTACATAGTCCAATTACTCAAGTTTAAATACATCTAAGATACATCTTAAGACTGACAAATTGATCATGTGCCTTGATTTATCAGTGCACACAGCCAGCTTAATGACACGAATCATCAGTGGTGAGCCTATAACTAGAACTAAAGAATAACTAAAAGCTCTTATCGAGTAAGACAACAAAGAGGAACCTCTTGGGTCAGTCCCAGTAAACAGTCTGGGAAAATGTGTCTTACTAAAACAGTCCAAACAAGCCAGATGTGTCAGCCTCAGTGACATGTAGGCTAATTATCTCCACTTCACCAAAACAATCTGCATCTACTAGTATTTTCTGGAGGCCCCCAAAGGAACTGCATATAACATTTTTCATGCTGACAATATCAAACAAATTTACATATTTAATTTGGAGCTCACACTTGGTGTATGCAGTGTTGAAAAATAAATGACATTATAGGTAAGAGAAATGTAGCACTGATGAGTGGTAGAGGGGAAAGAGAGGTGAGAGAGGACTGACAGAAACCATAATTGGAGAGAGGGCAAGGTAATCTGGTAAACTGCAATGGGAATTTTTGGGGTGGACACAAATCAAAAGTCCCCTACACAAAGGTCAAAACAAGGAGATCTGCTGGGGCTGTTTCTCTGTGGCTCAGCTCAGCCAGCTGAACACATGCAGTTTATTTATTCTGACTATTACTTGTAATTACAGGTGACGAAAATATTCAAATGAGATTTCAAAATTATAGGCTGTTTCTCTTTTGCTGAGCGGTGGCACATCAGCTAATACGTGATTATTGTAAATTATCTATTTAGTTTGTCACATAATCAATAGGCTTCCTATTGCTACTAAGAGGATGACTGAGGCAGACATTAAATCTGTAATCACACAATATTAGATTAGATTAAAATATAAATATCAACAGTGGAGAACTAGAAAATAATAAATAGTTCATAATACATAATATATTTCTCATTCAAGTAAAAAAAAATTATGTTCTGAAAAAATTCAATCATCTGAACTGTAACTTAAAATTCAGTTAAAAACTATTTATTTCTATATATGTAGAGAGAGAGAGAGAGAGAGTGAGGGAGAGAGGGAGAGATGACAACAGTCTACTACATTATCTTAATATTCTCCTAATCCTCAGTTAAACCTTGTGTTGTGTACAGCAGGTTTATCTTGTATTTCACATGCAGTGACCTCTACTGACAGCTAAGTAACTTGTAGAAGACACAGCAACTGGGTTTAGCCTAAAACAAAGCTGCAAGTTCATCTGCAGCTTCCAAGGACACAAAACTTAAATTCACATTACTTCATGAATGCAGTGTTAGACTTGTCTTAAAACTCAAAATGTGTCTAAAATGCAGTCTGCATGCTTTGTAGTGGACAACGTGGTCAGTTTGTGACTTGTTTTACAAAGTACATCACCATGTCATTGAACTGTGCCAGAGTCACAGTGATCAACTAATGAATGTGGTGGCCAAGTCTGTATTTCACTGAGAAGCTGTGATAAAATACTGGAATATAAAATTACTGCCTTTCAGTCAGACTGCCTGGCAACCTGCCACATGAAGCGCTTCAAATTCACGAGGAAGTCAAAGACGGAGAGGGGATTCAGTGAGGATAATAAGGCATAATATCTTAAATGCGTAGCCTGTGTGTTGCAGTGTCTTCAATCATACAGAGGCACTTTTGTATTTTGGCAGGGAAATGTATCTGCAAAATATCTACCTGCTGTTCGAGAGGAGTATTTCATTAGAATGTAGAAATAACAAAATATTTCAACTCATATCCTCGGATTAAAAAACATTGCGAGGACAGAATCCGTGCTGACTGAATGATTTCCTTTCATTAGTCACATGCACCAGGCTACCACGGAGGAGAGACAGAGGAAAATGTGAAATATAATGCAGTTCAACAACTGCATAACATGGCCAACTATGCAATTCATGTAGATGCTCGGCTTCAAAACAGAGAGGCACAAACTGAACAAACCAAAGTGTTTTAGTGGACATGGATGATATATCGCATTTCCTCCTGCCCACACACCACAAACAAATGAGCAAACTGGGGGTATGATGTTCAAACAAAATCAATGGAAGGAGACTTTAAATAAGACATCTTTAATACCGTAGGCTGGCACAGTACCTCAGAAATATGTTCCAGCATCTACTTAAGACAAGTGTCATTTTAAACTGTGAGCAGACCACACAAACAGGGAGGATTACTGTTTTTTTGACAGTTTAATAACTGTCAGAAAAAAGGACAACTCATTATACTTTGGCTTAACTCTCCAAGTGGGCTCAGCTCTGAGCAGGGTAAGTCTGAATAAATAAAGACAGCAACCACGCTTTGCCCATGTTTGTCTAGTATTTGCACAATGTTCCTGTGTAATCATTAACTTTTTGCGATTGGCTTCTGCAGCACAGAAAAAGGGAGTAAAGGTTCCAAATTTATGGCCGTGCAATATTGACTTCGAATACACAGCATGTTTTTTGTAGGAATTGTGCATCATTTGAATAAGCTTTTCATTCATTTGAGGTGATAAAACCGGCAATAAGTATATTCCTGTTTATAATTAAGGCATGCTACAATGGGGAAGTGCTCTGAATTCACATGACGTGTTTAGATATTGTATGCAGTTTCTGGGGATATGATGGGTGTGTGTCTTGTGGAAGGAGGGTGTAAAACTCACTTTATAAAGCAGCGCGCGCCTTCGAAAGTATAGCCTTCTTCCCATCCAGTGGGTAGGTCTGTGAAAAAAGGGGGAGGAGGACAAAAAACACGTGAACACAAACTGGTGGAACAAACAGATGTTCTGTGTATTAAATTAACTAGAGCTATGCATTCCCAGCTGTCAATTCATACAGCGCTACAACAATGAGTCAATTAAACTATTTGTCAACTAAAAGACATAAATCAGCAGTTATTTTGAATATCAATACATCATTTCTGCCAACTACTACTGTTTCCATCATCTCAAATGTCAGGATTTACTGCGACTTTATATAATCCTCAATGAACGGGGAAATTAAGCATATTTGTAAACTTCACTTTTAGGGCTGCAACTATTATTTTCATTATCACTTAATCTTTTGATTATTTTCTTGATCAACTGGTTGATTATTTGATCTTTAAAATGGCAGAAAATAGTAACAACTACACATCACAGTGTCCTAAAGGTAAATATAACATATTTACATTGCTTTTGTCTGACCATCCAGTCCGAAACCCAAAGATATTCAATTTACTATCACATACGCCCAATAAAAGCAGAAAACCAGTATCATTTGACATTTTTTACTGATGAATCACTTATCAAACTGTATCTGACAATGAATTTTCTGGCAATCAAGGCATTTGACAACTCCATTAATCAGCTAATTGTTTCAGCTCTAAGTATTTGGGCTATAGGACATTCTGATTGGTATTTTGCACAATTTTTGACATTTAACAAACAAAATAGATGAATTGATAATATTAATAACGGTTAGTTGAAGCCCTACTTAAACGCATAGTTAGTGGCATGGCACCGCCACCTAGTAAAACACACACTGCAAGGAGCTCATTTTAATATGTAACACACACTGCGTTTAAGATTGGTTAAGAGCTTTTTTTGAAGTGGTGGTGTAGAGGAAGCTAATTTTGTAGGTTTACAGCTCACCTTTACTAGCTCTCCAGCCTGCAGCAGCTGTTGCTGTATACCTGTCTAAACTGGATATCACTGTCTCTGTTAACTGGTCAATGTAACATCAAGTGCACGTGTCAGACAGGCGGTGTGTGGTACACAGTTTATCCAAAATAAAATGCCTCTGATATTGACTGATTTATAAGCTGGTGACTTGAAAGTCGTCGTTTTTTTTTTTTTTTGGTTGTTGTTTGTTTTTTTACAAGTTCGCTGGTAGCAAAGGTCCACTCGTCCAACTCCACCGACAGCGGGGCACGAGAGGGCTCACTTTCCACAGCACGAGCGACAAAAGCCCACTCACTCATGCATTAAGAAACACAGCATGGGTGTCTCTCTCTCTCTCTCTGTCTCTCTCTCTCTCTCTGTCTCTCTCTCTCTCTCTCTCTCAGACACAGAGAGACACACAGAGAGAGAGAGAGAGAGAGAGAGAGAGAGAGTGTGGGAAGTATCGGTTTTGGCAAAAAAAAAAAACAGCTCGTGACGACGCGCGAGACACGTTATAAACACAAGAGACAAACTTGACAGCCGTCAGGTGACATCTTACCTGGAGTTTTCCTGTGTCCAGTTATTACTGCTTCGCCACTCACTGGATGCAGCCAGGTTGTACTCTTGGCTTCTTCGCTGTTGGGAGAAGAGAAAATCATTCATTATTACACGGCGACTTCCTTCGAATCGGAAACGGACCGAAATGACTTGAGGCTTTTTCTCTGAAGGGGATAATTACTTAATGAAGAAGACGCGTCCATCCCGAGTAACCCCATAACTCCAGGAAGAAGGGAGACAAGAAATCCACTCGGGTTGTAGATCCGCCGCCATGTCTGGCACTACTGTATGACAATCGCGCGGCTCCGCTCTCGCAGGCAGCGCGTACACGGAAACCTTGGCAACGGCGGATGGCTCAGAGGAGGGCAGGGGGGCGGGCAGGTACCCTCAGTCCATCTGTCTGCGAGATCATTTGATTGACAGACAAATACCTGTTAAATATCTTAATTGGTGGACGTTTTATTCTTCTTTGTGTGGGATATTGCTATAAGAATGCCTTTATAACTTGTTTTTCTCTGCTTTTTGTTTGTTATTGTTGCCTTTTGCACAGCTGTGGATGCACATTGTTTTCAGCACAGACACCTCTCAGTGGGGGGCAGGGAGGGATTAACCTGTCAGGAGGCCCCCAGGGCAAAATTGATCTGCTGGGCCCCCTATATGCCCTTTTTCACAACATAAAAGTAGATAGTAGAATAACATTAAGGATGGTTCCTTTATTCAACTGTCCCTGTAAGACACAACATTGTAGTGAGACAGTATGCTTGTTACAGGAACCCTGAACAGGAAGATTTGTGATCCTTTTGTGACATGTCAAAATGTCTTTAATAAAAAAAAAAGGCCTATTAACTTCCTTGTTCCTTGCGCTCTCTGGCAGTGCGTACAGTTTTTTGCTGGAGTGCAATGTCTGTGTGGTAATTGGATTAAGCACATCAATGTATGGATTCTGGATTACCCACCAGGCAAAGTCGGCAAACCGCCCTGGGTCCACCAGAACCCCAGTGTCCTCAAAAGCCTAAGTTTCACTGCATGTCAGTTGGCTTTTGATAATTAGATTAATCGTACATTTTGGATTTTAATGGACCAAAATTAAGCCCTAAATTGTGTTTTTTTTAAATCATTAAAACTTCTAAATCCTCAGGTCTAGCCAAGGACCTTTGTTGCATGTCACCCCTCATGTCTCTGTCTCTGCTCATCAAATATGTAGGCACAAAACTGAAATAATGAAGGTCCTAAAATTAGATTTTGGCACAGGGGCCCTCTTCAAGACAGTTCCTCTAGGTCAGGTAATAGTCAGCAGCTACATTGAGTCCTTTATCATGTCAGATGCGTGTTAGTGGCGCATATCCCACAACTAATGATCAGTTAAATTAGCACAAACCTGGTGAAACTTCAGGTCAAGTATCAGCCTTTGTGCTCCCTTGAGTTCAGGTGTTCTGGGACATGGAGTTGCAGACTGGAATACACACACACACACAGAGATACACACAATGCACTGGTAAATACACACTTTCAATTCTACCTTTAGGTTCTTGGTCCGTGCCTTCTGTCATTGTGCTGGGAAACTGCAGCATCAGCCTTTCACGCCATACAAAGACAAGTTATCCAACACCGCCGTGCCTGGCCTGTTTGTTGGCATTGTGTCGCATTGTGTTCTGGACACATGGTAAGCCACTGCTTTTGAGGCGGCTGCTGCTGGTGGTGGGAAGTGGACATACACTATCTGCCAACTGCCAGGGCGTCCACTTTGGAGAATAACTCCTAAAGGGAGGGGAAGCAGTTTAGGTAGTTAGGCACTGATGCTTGTACTGGTCAGATTCCAAACACTGAGCCCTTTGTTTTACTTACCTGGGCCAGAGCAGCATGGAGCAGCTTGTTTTCCCCCAGGTGGTACAATGGTCCATGAGAAGAAAGATCATAACAACATTCAACTAAGCTGAGTTTTATGTACCCTTTGTATTAACTAGACATCAATTTATAAAGCATGAGGCTTTGTTGTATGATACACAGCTAAATTCAATCAATTCCTAACCTTTTTATGAAGCTGTAAATAGATTTTTATTCTGAAATTCATATTTTTTTTAACAGTTAACAGTTCACCTTTTAAGAAAAAAACCTTACTTGCTCAAGCCCCACTTTTTCCATAATTGTTTAATCTCTTTTCTGAATATCTAATAAGATCAGTTAGGTGTAAATAATTGGATTAGAGCCTGATACCTACCTGTGCTGGTATACCCGTGGGATGTGAAAGTGAAGTAGTGTCTGGAAGCCAGGGTCCCTGCTTCTCAGTTTTCCAAAAGACAAATAGTCACAGTCGGCCTCCCTTTTTAGCATTCAGAAAAGAAAAGTGAAATATACAAGTACTATTTCCTATTCCTGATTCTTAAAATTAAAGTCTTACATGATATATGACACACACAGCTTTGCATTAATAGGCATATCAGTCACAAGTATAATTATGAAAGCCCAAAAAAGGCATTTCAAATCAGTCTCCCTTTAATTTCACAGGTGCCCTAATCAATATGCAAGTTTCCATGGAATTCTGTCTCAAGGTCTGAAAGCACTGAAATAACAGAAAGTCCAGTACTGTGGGTCAGTTCATGTAATTCTTCGTTTGGCAGAAGCAGACATTTCTCAAATGAGCTCACAGTTGCCAGGGTGAATGAAAAATGCTTCACTGTACTGTAGCTTATCATCAGCTCTCAAGCAGCCCATACCATTTAGTTAAAGTGGGAGCTTAAATGAGAGTGGTGGCAAAGTATGTTTGTCTTCCTGCTAAAAGGTAGTGCTGGAGGCTGTGTGTGTAAAACCTTTTCTCAACAGCACAGAGTTCAATAATAGAAAATGGAAATATTATGGAGAACAAGCCAAACAGATCTGGGTTCTTGACCCCTGCTGATTTGCTTATTCATTTTGTGAGGCACTGATTTCTGGGATCCACTAAATGTCACACTATACTTAACTGAGGCTCTGGTAAAATGTGATGTAAATCCAGAATTTTCAAATACAAGGCTACTTTATACTCCCTTGTTTTCAGAGAGAATAAAAGAAACAAGATTAGCTGAATAACAGAACCCAACCAGCTTCTCAAAGACTCAATTCAACTCACAAAATATTAATTCATGTCCTAAAGGAGAACCAGGGTCTGAAAAATAAGTGCAATATAATCATTATGAAGTACATACACTGTTGTGTCTGGTTAACATTGTGCAATGCATTCTTACATAATTCCTCCATGCTCTGCAAGGCGAGGGTTCTCTGCTCAGCAACACAGGCCAGACTTGAGGCATCAGAATGTAATTAATGGTTGCACATTATCAAGCAGCTGTTGGAGGGCTTTGTTCTGGTGCCAGCTCAGCAGTAGCCTCGTGCCTGTCTGTGCTAGGTAACAAGGAGGACTCTCCTCTTTAGGCTGGAGCCACTCGGCATCTGTGCAGACCTCTCATCTGCTGGCATCAAAAGCCTTTACAGATAGAGCCATCTTTCAGCCTGAACATGACGCTTTGAAATTAGTGGACAGGAAATGTGGGAAATGTTATAACATTGCCACTTAACTAGTACTGAGGGAAAAATAGTCATTCTTTGATTAGATAAAAATAAGAGTTCCCAATATAGCCTCAGGAGGTAATATTCAGCCCACAACTACAGTGTAAAATTAACTTACTGGGAACTGTAACTTCCTGTACTGTGCTATTTATCCAATCCCTTACACATTGCTCAATGATATGAACATGATGTCATCTGTGCTTCTCAGATTGCAACACACAGAATCATTTTAATGGCATGCATAACCCACAAACCAGTATAGCTATAGCGCCAGTCAAGTCAGCAGGAGAGGCTAATAGGCAACATTGGAAAGATGGTATAACACTTTATTCAGCTGTAGATGCAGAGGTATGTGGTAATAGCAATACGGATGATAGGAATATGGATCATTAGGCTTTGGAAGTTTGTGTAAAAAAAAAAGACAACTCACCTCTGAATCATTAAACACACTTCCCTGAATCACTGTTAGTCACAGCCTGACAAACACCCAACCCACAAATGGTTCTATGTTCACCACAGTGATGACCTCACTGGATCCATTGCCTTTTTGGATGCAGTCCAAATGTTTTTCTTTCCAGGTTTTATGAGATTTCCACCAGTGATGATATGTGTCATTAAGACTGAATGAGTGGGTACTCTATTTTGTAATTAGGGGATGCTGTAAGTGGCTTGACTCGGTTTTAACTGAAGTAATAGTGAGAGGAAATGCATTGCAGCTCGGCTGTGGCACAAAAAAAAAACTCAAGCAAAGTTATTTCCTCCAGACCAACTGGGTTTTATTTTGCTATGTAAAGTAAAAACAGAGCTGGACTTGTGTTCGATGTGATAGTTTATTCATGCTAAAGTACTGAAAAGGTTGACTGTGTTACTTACTTTCAAGATCAGCAGCAGAACCAAGCAGGAATAAATTATACATCTTGCATGAAAGGGCCAGAGCTCTACCTGTCAAGATGAATGTGTCTGTTAAATATCTAAACTAACATAATCATCATAACCTTACCCACATGTTGTCTTTAGGACTAAACGGTTTAGACAAGAACCTCTGTGTAAACATAATGAAATTAACCTTCCCTCTACCTCTCTCTGCATCATAAACCGCTTTATTAATTGCTTTCTGTGCTTCGTAAGCACTACAAAAGGCTACTGTAAATGCACCGGACTTTAAATCATCCTCACATAACATGAGTGGTTTCCCTATTGATTGCAGCTGGCACCATTAGTCAAAAGATCCCGTTGTGTCATTTAAGTAATGTAATGAGTAGATTATTAATTAAGATGAAGGACTACTTAACATTGATCAGGCTCTTAAGCTCCATTTTGGTATAAAACATAAATAACCTAACATGGGTGTGATTCACCAATATACTGTCTCAGTGCTCATGAGAGCTCATCACATGTGCTGACATCACAAATCATTACACGTAGCACCGCCAGGTTTCATCTTCATGAGTGCAAAGCCTGTGCCTTCGCCCTGCAGTGTATTTTTGCTTAAGTAGCAGATTATAGATCACTATATAGAACTACTTCAGGCCTAGTGCTGTGTAATGTGAAAACTCTGTTTCAATGGCGCAGTTATCTGGTGGGAGTGGAAGAGGCCGCAATACACTGTCTGAGGTGATGTACAGTGTTAACAAAGGTGTGGATGTGAAACCAATAAATAAAGTTTCTTTTTTTTGTTGCAACCACAACTTCTGTTTGGCTTTGCAGTATTCAAGATGTCTCAGCATGCAGTCATCCCCTGTTGACACACATATCCTGTGTCTGATGGGAAAGCAGAGCAGTGTGACAAACAGGTCATGA